AGCTAGCTAGCTAGCTAGACAGAAAAGTAGTCGTATTTGGTTTGGGCGTTAATGCGCTCCTGCAGATTTGCGACCCGATGGTACAGCGTGTCCAACTTGGTGCGGCGCAGCACAGAAAGCAGCGCCTCCTGCAGCAGCAGCAGCAGCAGCAGCAGCAGCAGTAGCAGCAGCAGAAGCAACAGCAGCAACGGCAGGAACAGAAACAGCAGGAGGCGTAGTGGTAGAGGCTGGGGAGCGCAGCGGGCTTGGAAGGCAACAGCAGCAGCGGCGACAACGTAGACTTGGCAGCAGCAGCAGCAGCAGCAGCAGCAACAGCATTAACAGCAACAGCCAGTTCTGCCTCACTTGGATTCCTGCTGCCTTCATGTCGAAGCAGTTCGGCTTGTAGTTCGTCAGCGTCTGCACGCAGCAGCAGCAGCAGCAGCAGCAGCAGCAGCAGCCACAGCAACAGGTGCTCAAGGAGCAAATCTATATAAAAGAAAACGCAAAACGCTTGTGGAAACTTTTCAATTATTTAATGAGACAAAACACTTAATTTAATTTACTTCAATTTGATTAAATCTAATTTATTTTGTTTTAATTTAAAAAAATAAATTAAAGTTAAACGGGGTTTCTAATTGAATGGGAGATATTTATTTGAATTAAAAAAGATATTTAATTAAATTCAAAAAGGATATTTAACTCAACAAAAAGAAAAATTAAATTCAAAAAGGGATTTAACTGAGTGGGAGATATTTAATTTTGTCAAAGTGAGATATATTTAATTAAATCCAAAAAGATATTTAATTGAATCCAAATGATATATTTAATTTTATCGAAAAAGGAAATTTAATTGAATTACAAAATGAAATTATATTTAATCCAAAAAATAGATTTAATTAAATCAAAACGAGACATTTAAATAAACTAAAATCGAAAGATAAATAAAAAACTGATGGAGGCAAAAGGCAAAACAATAAATTGCATTTTAAAGGATATAAATAAAAAAGGAAAAAGACAAAAAATAAAGTCAAATTATTTAAATAATTAATTCAGCATATTCATATTTTAAAATAGTTTTGTTTATTTAATTGTTCAACCTTTTAATATTTTTTAACGTTTTTATTTTCCCCTTACCAACTACTTATTTATTTATTCATTTATAGATTCATTTGTTTGTTTATTCACTTATTTAGTGCTAATTTATTTATTTATTATTAATCAATTGATTTATTTATTTATTTATTTATTATATGTGCCGAGATACTTGAGAACATCCGCCTCATCCTTTTGAAAGTCCATTTCCTTTATTTCCCAAGAATTAATTAATTAAATTAAATAAAATTAAATAATTAATTAATTAATCAATTTAATTAAAATAATTAGTTAATTATGTATTTGTGTTTGCGATTGTTGGGGTAGGTCTGAAGGCTTGGCTGCATTTGCTTCGGGTGTACGTGCAGGTTTGAGGTGTACGTACACCTGAAGCGCATGCAGTGTCGCTGCATGCACTTGAGGCGAAACTGAACGAAATAAAGGAGAAAAAAGATGAATTAAATGCGAAAAACTTGAATTTAATTGTTTTAAAAGTGTAAAACGCACCTGCAGCAGCGAAAGAGCAGCAGCAACAAACTCAACATTATCAAATTCGAAAAGAGCAGCAGCAAGCGACTTCACGAGGTGCACAGACACCCGGTGCTGCAGCTGCCACCGGCCCCGACAGAGCTGCTTAATGGCAAATAAAATCTGAAAAAAAAGACATTTTGAACCATTTAATTCCTTTTAATTCCATTTTATTCTTTTTTATTTCTTTATTTTCATTTATTTTCCTTTATTTCATCTTTTTTCCCGAAGCTTTCCACTTCATAGCCAACTTGCTGCTGCTAAAACCCCAGCAGCAAGAAAAATAATAAATAAATAAATAAATAAATAAATAAATAAATAAATAAATAAATAAACGACAAATAAGTAAATAAATGATGGATAAATAAATAATAATAAATAACTAATAAACAAATAATAAAATAAATAAATGGGCAATAAGAGTGAATAGTGAAAAGGAAAAAAGAACTTAAAAAGGACAAAAATAAAAAGAAAGAAAGAAATGGGTAAAAGCAGAATAAATTCAGCAACTAATAAAAAAGAAAAGATAAAAAGAAATACAAGAAACAAACAAAACAAATAAGCTGCTGCTGCTGCTGCTGCTGCTGCCTCGCCTTTGCCTTAAACTCCGCGTCGCCTTCGGAGTTGTGAAAAATATACAAAACGAAATCCATCACTGGGTACCTGCCACCGCAAGCAGCGCACTGGCTAGCTAGCTAGCTAGCTAGCTAGCTAGCTAGCTAGCTAGCTAGCTAGGTGGGCTGTTGGGTAGCTAGCTAGCTACCTAGTTAGATGAGTAGGTAGATAACTAGCGAGCTTCGTGGGTGGGTAGCTAGCTAGCTAGCTAGCTAGCTAGCTAGCTAGCTAGCTAGCTAGCTGGCCAAACTGCTAGCAAGTGATTGGCTTGGGTAGAGACATCTGCGCCTTCAGCTTTCCAGCTGGCCAGCTAGCTAGCTAGCTAGCTGATAAGGAGGTGAAGCCCTAAATTACACTGCACAGCTAGCTAGCTACACAGCTAGCTAGCAGCACAGCTAGCTAGCTACACAGCTAGCTAGCAGCACAGCTAGCTAGCGAGAGATCTTCTAAGTAGCTAAGCAGCTGCCTTCTTAGACGAGGTGCGACTTGGCTAGCAGCACATCTAACTAGCTAGCTAGCTAGCCAGCTAGCCAGCTAGCTAGCTAGCTAGCTAGCTAGCTATCTAGCTAGCTGCGCAGCTAGCTGCAGCAGAGAGCCAGCCCGCTGGTTTGGGGCCGAAAAAAGGCGGCCGAAGACCAAAAGGCTAATTAAGCACTTAAATAACTTTTATTATTTATTTATTTATTTATTTATTTATTTATTTATTTATTTATTTATTTGTTTGTTTATTGGCACCTTTCCACCATTTCTGCGTGGGCCGTTTCATCGTTGGCTAGCTGCCCCACAACTCCCATTAGGCCCGACAGCAGCGGCCGCCGCTCTGCGAGGTCCGAGGCGTAGTTGTGCTGCAGCAGCAGCAGCAGCAGCAGCAGCAGCAGCTGCAGCGGGGGGTTGCCGCAGCAGCAGCGGCAGCACAGAGCAGCTGCAGCGGCAGCAGCAGCAGAGGGTCGCAGCAGCAGCAGCACAGTATAACAACTGCGCCTGCCGCAACAGCACGGAGTTGCAGCAGCAGCAGCAGCAGCGCAGGGTTCCAGTAGCAGCAGCACAGGATAGCAGCAGCAGCAGCAGCACAGGCGGAGGGTCGCAGCAGCAGCAGCACACGGTAGCAGCAGCAGCAAAAAATCCAGTTGCAGCAGCAAGGGCAGGAGTAGCAGCAGCAGCGATTATACAGAAGCGGAAGCAGCAGCAGCAGCAATGGTCTTCACAGGAATGCAGCAGCAGCCGCAGCAGCAACGCAGCAGCGGCAGCGGCGCCCGCTAAGCCAAGTCCAGGGCCTAGGGTTTAGGGTTTAGGGTTTAGGGTTTACCATAAGCAGGTCCACTATAGGGTAGAGGCCTCCTGCTGCTAAGAACTGCTGCCTGTGTGCTGCTAGCTTTGTTAAGTTCAGCAGCAGCAGCACCACTGAGAGAGTAATGGTTTGTTCCTGCAGCAAAATGTTCAATTAATCAATTAATTAATTAATTAATTAATTAATTAATTAATTAATTTGCTTCCTTATTTAATTAGCTTTTATTGGGGATTGATTGTCAAGTTCGCTGCTGAGGGCTGTGTTGAAGTGTGCAGTCAGCAGCAGCAGCAGCAGCAGCAGCAGCGGCGGCAGCAGCAGCACGAGGAGCAGATACCGCAGCAGCAGCTGCAAGAGCTGCAGCAGCACCAGCAGCCGGCAGCAGCAGCAAACGCATCCTCCGCACCAGCATCACCAGCCGCCACACCAGCACGAGCACCAGCAGCAGCAGCAGCAGCAGCAGCAGCAGCAGCAGCAGCAGCAGCAGCAGCAGCAGACCTTGCACTTGAGAAGCGCCACGCATGCATTATGAATTCCTCCCTCCAAAAGGATTTCTTTCGTTCGAGGATCGCCGGCGCTCAAGTTGACCAAAGAGGCAGTGCACAAGTGTAGCAAAGACAAGTTGCTGCCCTGCAGCAGCAGCAGCAGCAGCAGCAGCAGCAGCAGCAGCAGCAGCAGCAGCAGCAGCAGCAGCAGCAGCAGCAGCAGCAGCAGCAGCAGAGGCGGCAGCAGCAAAGGCAGCAGCGGCAGGGACAAAGGCAGAGGGTGAGACAGAAAAGTGGGGGAGTGACGGGAGAAGAAACCAAAACGACAAAAAACCCTGAAAACCCCAAACCCTAAACCCTAAACCCTAAACCCTAAACCCTAGCTACCAAGCTCGACAGCGGTCCCGGCCCTAAGCGCCAAACCTGCGAACGCTAAACCCTAAACCCTCAACTCTAAACCCTAAATTAGGGTTACCGAGTTGGTGGCGTCAGGCGCGCGGATGGTTTGGACTAAAGCGGGGACAATGGAGTGCAGCAACTCTGTTGTTCTGCTGCTGCTGCTGCTGCTGCTGCTGCTCGTTGCTTTCAAAATTTGCTTCGCAACAGCAGTTTTGAATTCGGGGGTTCGCGAGCCACTCAAAAGACCCCGCAGCATCTCCATGTAGGCCCCCTCCTCGCTGCAGCAAACCCTAAACCCTAAACCCTAAACCCTAAACCCTAAACCCTGAAGAGCAGCGCGGCTACAAACGCTTGCAGCCCTCAATGCTATGCATCAAAACCCGCATATCCCTTGCAATTCTAAACCCTTGACTCGAGAAGCAGCCTAAACCCTAAACCCTAAACCCTAAACCCTAAAACATACTCTTTGGAAAAAAGTTTGGCGATGTATCCGCACTCGAGCAGGGCCTGAAAAAGAAACGTTTGAAAAGAACTTCTCGAATAAATAAACAAATAAAAATAAATAAATAATAAAACCAAATGAATAAATAAATTAATAAAATAATAAAACAAAAATAAATAAATAAGAATAAATGAACGAAAAAAAAGAAATGATTAAGGCAACAGAAGAGTGAAAAATGATGAACAAGGATGCAAATAGCGAGAACGCCCAGCAGCAGCAGCAGCAGCAGCAGCAACAGCAGTCCAGAAGTCTCTTTTGCAGCCACAGCAGCAGCAGCAGCAGCAGCAGCAGCAGCAGCAAGAGCGGCAGCAGCAGTCCAGAAGTCGCTTTTGCAGCCGCAGCAGCAGCAACAGCAGCAACAGCAGCAGCAATACCAGTATCACCATCATCATTAGCAGCAGCAGCACCATGAATATCAGCAGCAGCAGCAACAGCAGCAGCAGCAGAAGCAGCAGCAGAAGCAGCAGCAGCAGCAGCAGACCAAGAAGCTGCTCTGGTTGAAAATATAATCTCTCCTGGCAAGAGAGTGCTGCTGCTGCTGCAGCGCCTTTGGGTCAAAAGGCTGCAGAAAGTCTCGCGGCCGGAAGTGCAGCAAAAAGGCCAGCGCCTCCCGCAGCAGCTGCAGCAGCAGCAGCAGCAGCAGCAGCAGCAGAAGCAGCAGTGAGCGAAAGCCCTTTTCGGCTGCTACCGTCTCTCCAGTCTTTGCGGCCATTTGGTCTTCTGTGTTCAATTAATTAATTTAATTAATTTAATTAATTAAATTATTTATTTATTTATGTATTTATTTGTTTATTTATTTATTTATTTATTTATTTATTTATTTATTTATTTATTTATTTATTTATTTATTTGCTGCGCTCTTGCGATTTGTTTGCCCTGGCGTCTTTTGTCTTTTATTTTTTTCAATCATTTTTTTCATTTACTTGTGCTATTGGCGCTGATAAACCCTAAACCCTAAACCCTAAACCCTAAACCCTAGGAGGGTTTACCTTGTCTGCGTGGGGCCCCACAAGGCCCACAGCAGCAGCAAGATCTGCAAGACACAATTTGCCCCTCAGCAAACCCCCGTCTAAACAAAACCCTAAAAAGGAGGAAACCCTAAAGGTCCAGCGGTGCAGCAGCAGCACCTTCTTCTGGTTGCTGCTGCTGCTGCTGCTGCTGCTGCTCTCTTCGTTCTCCGCCTCCTCAACTGCAGCAGCAAGCGCTGCCCCGTCCACGTTGCTGTCAACTCCTATATAAATAAATAAATAAATAAATAAATTAATTAATTAATTAATTAATTAATTAAATAATTAATTAATAAATAATTAATTAATTAAATTATAAATTTTCATCAAGTATTTGTCTGTTGGCAGCGGCGCGCAATCAGCTGGCAAAGGGGTTTCATAACCCTAAACCCTAAACCCTAAACCCTAAACCCTAGGCCAGAAAGGCCAAGCCCTAAACCCTCAACTGTAATCAATTAGAGTAGGCCACAGTAAATCAGGCCGGCTCGAAGCAAAACGGGCCACGGCCCAAGCATGAGGGTTTAGGGTTTGGGGTTTAGGGTTTAGGGTTTAGGGTTTGCCTTCTCCTTGGCGAATCATCTCTTGGACCACCAGCATCGGATCCTCAACGACGCCAACAGAAGACCCCAGAGCGTCCACAAGATCTGAGCAAGCCACAAGGGTTTAGGGTTAGGGTTTAGGGTTTAGGGTTTAGGGTTTGGGGTTTAATCTACGGAGCTTCAATGCTCGGAAGGGGACAATGAATCTTCGAAATAAACCCCAAACCCTAGCTCTAAACCCTCATGCCGAGCTCACCTTGTAGGCCTTGCAAGTGAGTGTTTACGGTCAAGGGTTTAGGGTTT